GCAGTATATCAAAGGAACCGCTTTCTTTTTCTTTTTTTTTTTTAATCTTTAAAGAAAGATGACCTCATTTAGTAGTAGATCAAAAATACTGGACGGGAGGTGAGGCAGCTCAGACTGGAGTTGTTTTGTTGGATCTGAAAACCTGAATCATTTTCTGCCCCTTCATTAAAGTACTGAACACAAACAGTTCATTTATAAAGTGTAAGAAGATCACTTTAAACCCTCCTTACGTTCAGAAATGTTACACACAATGATCCTCTCTATCGTCGGGCGCTCACAGCGACCTCCTGCGTCTCCTCCTGTGCTCTTTCATAAATGAGCCTCTTCTATAAACACATGTTATGGATGTATAGTTCAAACTTTAGGGCAATAACTGGACGTCGTGTGAGCTGTGACGTTTGGCTCACAGCAGGTCGCTCCTCGGTCAGCTTTTGAGAGTCAGGACTTCAATGTGCCTTAGAGGAAAAGCAAGGTGATGCAGGAATCAGAAGCACCAGTTATTTGGTGTTTTTGTTTTTGTTTCTCCTTTTTTTTTTTTCTGTTCTTTTTTTTTTTTGTTGTTTGATGGTGTTTGGAGGGATTTTGGCCAAATTTGAACTCTGAATCTGCAGACACACACGCACGCTGCAGCCCTCCCTCACATCTCGCTTTACATCAGTACTGTTTTATTTTAACAACAGACGACATCTTTATTTCCACTTTCCCCAAAAACAACACATTTGTTGTCTGAAAACACAAAGTATATAAAGTTGGGGGAAACCGTTTGATTTTATTTTGAATGTGTTACTCTAGAGCGATAAAGATTCTGTATGCTGTTAACGAGCTCATTTTGATAATTACTCAGTGCTAGAATTCATTTATAAAAATAACAAAAAAAGATTTTAAAAATATCACCAGAACACGTTCCATCTAGTGAAACGGCAAAATGAACAACCAACCAGCAGCAGTCGCTCCATGACAAAAAGAAAAGTAAAGATCTGAGCCGTCAGCTGCACATTTTCACTCACCTGCTTTTTTTTCTTTCTTTAAAGTTTGTAGATGAGCTCCGGTTTTTATCATGGATGTTTAAAGAAATGCACGTTTAAGCTTAAAACCAAATGATTTCTGTATGAAAGCAAACTAGCAGCTTCCTCTTCCTCCTCTTCATCCTCTTCCTCCTCCTCTATCTCCTCCTCCTCCTCCGCCTCTTCCTCTATCTCCTCCTCTTCCTCCTCCTCCTCTTCCTCCTCTTCCTCCTCCTCCTCCTCCTCTTCCTCCTCTTCCTCCTCCTCCTCTTCCTCCTCTTCCTCCTCCTCCTCCTCCTCTTCCTCCTCTTCCTCCTCCACCTCTTCCTCCTTTTCCTCCTCCTCCTCCTCTTCTTCCTCTATCTCCTCTTCTTCATCCTCCTCCTCTTCCTCCTCCTCCTCCTCCTCTTCCTCTTCCTCCACCTCCTCTTCCTCCTCCTCCTCCTCTCCTCCTCTTCCTCTTCCTCCTCTTCCTCCTCCTCCTCCTCTCCTCTTCCTCTTCCTCCTCCTCCTCTTCCTCCTCCTCCTCCTCTTCCTCCTCCTCTTCCTCCTCCTCCTCCTCTTCCTCCTCTTCCTCCTCCTCCTCCTCCTCCTCTTCCTCTATCTCCTCCTCTTCCTCCTCCTCTTCCTCCTCCTCCTCCTCCACCTCTTCCTCTATCTCCTCCTCTTCCTCCTCCTCCTCTTCCTCCTCTTCCTCCTCCTCCTCCTCCTCTTCCTCCTCTTCCTCCTCCTCCTCTTCCTCCTCCTCTTCATCCTCCTCTTCCTCCTTTTCCTCCTCCTCCTCTTCTTCCTCTATCTCATCTTCTTCATCCTCCTCCTCTTCCTCCTCCTCCTCCTCCTCTTCCTCTATCTCTTCCTCTTCCTCTATCTCCTCTTCATCCTCCTCCTCTTCCTCTTCCTCCACCTCTTCCTCCTCCTCTTCCTCCTCTTCCTCCTCTTCCTCCTCTTCCTCCTCCTCTTCCTCCTCTTTCTCCTCTTCCTCCTCTTCCTCCTCCTCTTCCTCCTTTTCCTCCTCCTCCTCCTCTTCCTCCTCCTCCTCTTCCTCTATCTCTTCCTCTTCCTCTATCTCCTCTTCATCCTCCTCCTCTTCCTCTTCCTCCACCTCTTCCTCCTCCTCTTCCTCCTCTTCCTCCTCCACCTCTTCCACCTCTTCCTCCTCTTCCTCCTCTTCCTCCTCTTCCTCCTCTTCCTCCTCCTTTAGTAAAGCTTCTCCTCCGGGCTCATCTCTCTGATCTTCAGTATTTTTAAGCTTCTGTTCGGTGTGTTTTTTATTTTTTATCCTGACTTATTTCTTAAATCTCAGCTGAGTCTCTTCTAGCGGGATCTTTGAGACGGAGCTCTATATCCAGACGGTCTTCTTCACAGGATAGTCGGGGAATGAAACCTTTCATGTCTGTTCTGTATTTATTGTAATATTCACCTGAACACTATCTGAAATATAGGTTAATTTGATGTTTAAATGCATTGGCATTTATAGCATACTGTATGTTTATAAATAAAATGTTATACATTCAAACGAGCTCTCGTCTCTTCCTTTCTAATTAAAATAGAAACACATTGGCTGAAAGGAAACAAACTGGAGAAATGAGGTAAATAAAGACTTCTTATAACGTACACTGCATCGATTCATTCAGCACATTTACATCTCTTACCTCCAGCAGAGGATATACATTCAGTTATTTCATTTTTCATATTTTAGACTTTGGAAGTAATGTTAAGAAATGTGAAGTTAAATCCTGGATGTTTATATTTCTTCTTTTTCCTTGTGTTTTATATGTTTATTGCTTATATACATTGTTTTATTTGCTCTGATAACCTGCTGCTCTAACACCACCATTTCCCAGTTTGGGATGAATAAAGTAAATCTATATATTCAGGAAGAAAATGAACAGCAGAGAAAACCAAAATGTCGGGTCTTCCTAGTTTGCACCATCATCTAGTTTCAACTTCAAATACTGTCAATGCACAAATACCCTCATGATAATATTATTGATGTATTTGACAATCATAATTTATCAGGTTTGAACCAGGTTAAATGGTAATATCAGATCATTTTAACCTTGCTTTTGTCTCTTTTTATATGCAACAAATAATTCACAACTAACTAACTGAAAACACCTTTAAATGTTTCATACTGCAGATTTCTAAAAGATCAAATTGACCGCTTTAGGAGCAAGTCTTAAACAAAGGAAACCAAAAATCTGGACTGTCCTCTGAACCGGTGTTGTGTTGCAGTCTGTTTCCTCTTCATATTTAGTTTCATGCATCACTGTCCGTTGTTGATCTGTACGCTGCGGCTCTACTCCAGATTATAAACCTGTGAAGGACATTGAGTGTGCTGACTTTTCTGTTTTCTTTTTTCTGCAGTCATGCACCTGAAGATTTGTTACTGTTTGACTGATGCTCCTTTTTCTGCTCTTCATGCAGCACTGCCCTCCTGATTTTTGTTTAATTTTTAAACCAGTGCTGGAATATAAACAAACTATATAATCATCTATCACATTCTTTTAAGTGCATTAACTCTTAATATTTGGTGTAGAGACACTGAAAAAGGGGTCACCTCTTATTCTGATAAAAAATTAATCCATTATTTAAATGCATCTGGTGGTCACACATTCTGGTAGTTGTTAATCCAAAATTAACCCCTTAAGTTTTCACAAATTTAAAAAAATCTTTTAAAATCAAACTGTGACTAAAGATTTGATAGAAATGAACAAAAACCCACTTTATAACCTCACCTGTCCATGTGTGCACAATAAATGATCAACAGTCTTTCTCTTCTGGGTTGAATAACCTCCCTCAACGTGTCAACCAAACACAATCAACCAGATTCGAGTAACTCTTGATGTATTTAATCTAAATTAACAGCTTATTGTTGACTTTTTTTCCCGATTGGTTCAAATTCAGATCGAATGGTTTCCATCTTTCCCCAGCATCGATACATCTCACCATTACTGGAGCGTCTTTCTTTTATTTTATCAGACTTCAAAACACCTTCACATGATACTTAATATTTATTTTCCATTTCCGTTTTCAAATGCAATCTCAAAGTCTTGGTACAACTTTAATCTAAAGAAAATGTTTTTAATATTCTGAGTACTGTAGAAAAGTGGTGCTGTGCTGTCCTTGGTGCTGAAATGTCCCAGCTGCCTTTTCAAACGCTCATACCTACAAACTTTAAATATGTAACACTTCATTCACACAATTAGGATTAGCCTTTTTTTTTCCATATAATAACACAACCTTCCAAAGAAAACATGACAAAGCACTCTTGGACTATTATTTGTTTTTTATCATCAACAACCATTTCAATGGTACACCTGGAAAACTATGTGCACATGTAGAAATATTTCCTTCTTAAATATAAGCATTCATTACCTACATATAAATAACTTTCAGATCCGGGACAAAACAAGTTACATAATGCTCACAAAATGGAGAGAGGAAAACAAAAAATCATTGTAAAATCAGACAGAGAGACAACATGCAAATAATATCGAAATAAATACAATGTTTGCATCCATTCCCTTTTTTATACCCAAAATAAATTCTTCCGAGGGAACTTTGTAAAACATCCAAAAGACTTGTATGATCGATCTACGAGGGAGTATGGCCTATGGTTCAACTATAGGAGACAAGAATACGTTTTATTAACACTTTACAATTTGAGCCACAAAAAACACTGCCGTAGAAAGACACACAAAACATACAGATTTTTCCTGTCGGAGATGAACATTGCAGTAGTTTGTGCCTTTTTTTCTTCGAGGAAATAATTGTTTTTATATCGATAATTTCAAGAAACTAAACTCTCAGCAAGCCCTGGAATTAAAAAAACAAAACAAAAACAACACCACAGCTGTCAGAGGCAGATCGTCTCTGCAGAGAACAGAAAAGCGCAATGCGTCTTGTTGGATAGTTTGTTGTGTCACAGCGTGGGGTTTGTGAGAGAGCATCCTCAGTCATGGTTTATCAAACGTCTCTCTACCGGACAAAGCAGCTGTTGAACTCTGACATTAATTGTGACTTAACGAGGCTCCGTTTGCGCACTGATGGCACAACGCGTTTCCAGTGCGCAGACTTGTGTGTTTGCTTGTAAATTTTGGCGCAAAAAAATGTTCATCTTAGCAAGTCACTTCATCAAATATTCATTCTTCGGTGTTTTTTGTTTTTTTTATCGGTTTCTGAATTTACGCATCAACAGAGGTGTCATTTGTTGATTCAAGAACAGCAACATGCCCTCTCTCTCTCTTGTTTCAGGATTTCAGCTTCAAGGCGTGACCTGAAACATGTCTCTACCCTTGCAGAAATCTGCGTTGTAATAATGGATAGTATGACTTGTCAAGATGGATATTTCTACAGCAAAAGTGTCCACTGACCACAAGGAACTGTGCAAGGCATAAAAATAAAATAAGAGAGTTGTCGTCTTCTTTTTTAACTGCGTTTTATTGTCCTTCAGTCTGTCTTGGGGAATTGCTTTTCAGTCTCCGGAGGGACGAGGAGCGTCTCTCCTCCTCTGCTCAGGCTCTTCTTCCTCCTCCTCCGTCGGGGAGCTCCATTAGAACATGCTGGTCTTTACTAACGTAGCTTTGGCTCCGTTCTGTCTTTGCAAAGACGACAGTACGCTTGCGAACGGCCCGCCCAATGAGTCCGGGATAGATGTGATGCCTCCCGGGGCGGTGGCCCAGCCTTGGCTCGGTGCTGTCACGCCCATGCCGGTCGACACGGAGGTCTTCACCTGGTCCACCACCTGTCCGTTTCCGGTGGTGTTGACCTGTCCTCCGGTGGGGCTCGGTCCGCCGCAGTTGGAGGTGGGGACGGGGTTCGGTCCCGGTCCTCCTGTGCTGTCGGGGTCGGTAGATTTGGTGTCTTTGCTGTCGTCATCTCTGGAGTCCGACTTTTTCCCAGAGTTGGACTTGGCTGCTGCTGCGGCCGCTGCAGCTGCGCGCTCCTGCTTGCGGAACTTGGCACGCCGGTTTTGGAACCACACCTGGAAAAGACCAAGAATGTAAACCACCGTTAGTGAGTGGTTGATTGATGTGTGCCAAGAAATCAAACTATGCGTATAATTGTGTCTGTTAATTTGTCAAAACAAATAAATATCATTGCCAAGAGTCACTTCAGCTCAGTTTACCAAAAACAACTAAATAATCAAACTTACAATTTGCATATTGAATCTAAATGTGTCCCTGAAGACATAAAACCTTTGATGTTGTTCATAAATGCAGAAGAAGAAGGGATATCAGCAGTCATTATGCAGACGCTTTGATTTTACTTAAATGTATTTCTAATGACTGATATGCTATGAAGATTCTTATTTGGATCATAAATCCCCTTGTGCGTAATCGTGCGTAAAATCACGCGTAAAGGGAACAGGTTGGCGCTTTTGTTGGAGAGCCGGTGTCTGTGTACCTGCACTCTGGCTTCAGTCAGATCGATTTTGAGTGCCAGCTCCTCTCTGGTGTAGATATCCGGGTAGTGCGTTTCAGCAAAAACCCTCTCGAGCTCCTTCAGCTGGGCGCTGGTGAACGTGGTCCGGATGCGCCTCTGCTTCCTCTTCTCGTTCAGTCCGCCGTGATCCGTGAACAGTTTGTAGGGAACTGTGAAGAAAATAGAAAAGGCACTGTTATAGGGTGCAATGGCAGCAGATATAAGTGTGTGTAATCGTGATGTTGTCTGATGGAAGTGAAAGTCCAAATTCGATATTTTGTATAAAATCCGGTTACGGATGCTGGGCTAAAGCTTCCAATCGTATTAAGCCTCTGATTACCTGTGAATTACTTCAGAATTGATAACGCTGCTGACCTGTGATGCGGTTAATTGTAATGTTAAACTAATTGTTGCTCCTCAGATTGAGGCTCAAGTTTGAAAACTTGTCATAATGTTCCCATCCGCCCCTGCGTGTTGCTACTGTAACTCCAATTCGGTGTCAATAATGAGCTTTAGTCTTTGGTTATCTAATTATTTCCGAAGCTTTATGTCTCATCGCAAAGTAAATAAATTATGCCGATCATTTTGGCAGCTTAAGATAATTCTGTTGGCGGTTTTTGGGTGTGACTGGGATAGTATAACCCCGTAACCGAATTACCGCTTGCCTGCAATCGCTTCTAACGTGATAAATTCTTTCATTTGTGTAAGCAAATTTCGTTTGGTAAATACTAAACACATTTCCATTTTCAAATGCAATCAAGACGTCCTATAATACGGCGGGGTTTGAGGCTTCCGGAGCTCGCTGCTTACCTGCGGCGTACGGGCTGCTCTGGTGGTCCCGTAGGGTCCCCAGGCTGCAGGAGCCCGGCGTGAGAGACGGACAGCCGGAGGTGGCCCCGAAAGTGGTCCTGATGGGATTGTACTGAAACCCGCTGGCCTGGCTGCACGAACTGAAGTCCGCGTAGGCCGATGCCAAGCTCGAGGTGTCCATCCCGGCCATACATGACTCGTAGGCAGAGGAATTTAGGTAAGAATACTCCATTTTATACATTTGAGAAGGCTCGGTTGAGTTAGAAAGCTGCACTTCCCGGGAAAACAAAAAACAAAAACTACCACCCAAAAAAAAAAATGGGTTAGGAAGTAAAAAAAATAATAAATACCAAAGTGAGGAGGACGCGCGGTCTGAACTGGGGGGGCAGAGAGGACTTGTTTGGTTTGAACTGGTTGGAAAAAAAAAGAGGCTGGACGGTGGGTAGATGTTCACTGCTCAGCGCCTGCTCCAAAACTGGCCTCCTTTATAGGAACCTAGCCCTGTTTTATGAAAAGCCCCCTAAGAGCCGCCTAGCCCGAGGTCTCTAGAGCATATAGTCCTCATAATAAACTTGGCTCTTTCCGCTTGGACAATAGCAAAGCGTTTGGTCTTATTGCTAGCGCTTTTTTACATGACAATAACTCATCAGTCTATTGGGCTGGCACTGGGGGCCCGGGCTGTCCAACCTCCCTATCATTGATCCCCTGCATCTCTAATTAGAATTTAATACCACGCCATTACGCAGCCCCTCCACCACCACCGCCGCTCCTCCACCCCATCCACCCCACTCCTCTCCAACCACCATCTTGCCCTTTAATTCAATCACACCACTTGGAAATAATGAAAGTTGGGTGACGATTCTCCCTGATCCAATTTTCTCCAAGCTTTTAAGCCTTTTAAGCGACCGTATACCTTGGGCAGGATTTCACATAGTATTCCCCCTCTGCCTTCCTCTCTCTGCCCGTCTGCTCCGACTCTTTTCTGCATGATCTTTTTTTTTTTTTTTTACTCTGATCTCCTGCACTGAAGCACAAAGAAATGCACGTGCCTGTGCAGGTATAACTAACATTTCAGATTTATTTTTTCCGTTTTTACGCTAAAACATTTAAAATTGCATTTAGGACTCGTAGAAATCAGCAGAAATAATTAATTTCCTCTATCTTTGATGACGTTTTTGCACCAGAAATGTTCCGAGATATTCTTCTTTCACAGGAAAAGGTTTGCAAGAAGGAAAAAAACATGTTCTGACGTTTATTTTCACAGCAATAAAATGTTTTTTCGCCTTTTACTATATTATTTTTTTAAAAAGAAAATACCGTGTGTGCATGGCTATGACTATAAAGGCTCGTTCAGATAGTTTTTTTCTCTCCCAGATGTGTTTTTGTGCGCGTGTGTGCACACCTGTCAAACACAAAAAACCATTTATACTCATAAACAGACTCATTACATTTCTCTCTGCAGGTTGTTGAATAATATTTTTATTATTTAATAACATATATAATTTATTCTATGATATTATTTTTAAAAATTATTCTGGGTCAAACATGTTCAGCTAGCCTATAACCGAAGTTAAACAATAAAGATTAACCTATAAATGATCTAAATAAATAAATACAAATCATAAACGAATGACCCAGCTCTAATGGAATAAAAGGCTTAACCTCTTTTTATTTTAAATAAATAAACACAATGTTTCTGACCCTTTTCTCTGCCCTGCTGCAGTGTTATCTGTGCTCAACTTCCGGGTGGGTTTTATGATTCAAATGAGTTTGTAATTGTCTTTATTACTTTCATTACTTTCATTATTTCGTTTATTTGGCGAATAACATCTTTCTAATGAAAGTAACGAACTGAGAGGCAGTCATCGGACCTCTCAGGCTCACAATATTGGCTGAGTGCTTAATTCGGTTTGTGTAATAAGGTGAACCGTTTCGTGTGTGTGTGTGTGTGTGTGTGTTGTGTGTGTGTGTGTGTGTGTGTGTGTGTGTGTGTGTGTGTGTGTCTCAGTGTTCAAGTCCTCGGCTGAGGCTTTATTTACTCTAAACTATCGAAAGACACAAAAAAAGGCGCAACAGGAATTCTGGTTCAATTAAACAATTACACATGGCCGACGAGTGTTTGATGTTTGGATGTGTTCATCTCTCGTCCTGGTTCAGTTATTGATCTGAAATATCTCAGTAATAATCCAGCAGGGACTGAGAGATGCTCAGCAGTGATTTTATATGATCATATGAAGCTGCAGCATCATTTAAACACTCTGGATATTATAAACATTTGTCTCTGAAATGATTAAGATACGTTTTATTAAAGGATTATTATTGGTCTTTTTTTATTTTTTCATTTTAGTTGATTTTATCCATCACATCATGATCTTAATTTTACATCATTACTCAAAAAAATGTTAGTAAATATAAAACAAATAGCCTATTTATTTGTTCATATCAGGAGATGTAAGAAGATAGGCCTTATGAACAAAGTTTACCTTCTAATTATTCATCTGAAATATAGTTTTAAGTTTTTTTTTAAAGGAGGTGAAACTAGTAAAATTCATCTTTTCATGTCAGGTTAAAATCTAGATTTTAAAAATATTTTTTATTTACGCTTCTAAACTCTGAGGTTCGACCTGCTCTTTCTTTCCACATCGTCTCCACGTGTCAATAAAAGAAACGTGAATGGATGAGATTTGTAAGTTTAAAAATGTCTCTAAACTCGTTTTGCACACTGAACATTTTGACCTTCAGTCTTCAGGCTGCGAGGTGCAGCTTCTATATGATCTGTTAAAATAAAGAGAAGACCCCGCACCCTTTTACCATCAATTATTTTTTTACTCAACAATTGCTGACGTGTTTCTGTGTGTTTCTGCCTTTTCTTTCGTGCACGTTTTCTTTTCAACAGATCAACGAGAGCCAAAAAAGAAGAAGAAAGAAAAGTTAATTCTTTCTTGACACAACCCGGTGCCTATTATGTAAATGTTTTCTTTTTTTTTTATTTCCCCCCTTTTCTACACACGAGCTGGGACCCAAAAGTTGTACCAAATGGTTAATTTGATTATTGAAACCAAAGAACCAAATGGTTCACCGTCCTCCCTCCACGCGTCTGGCAGCGAGAAAAGAAACCATCTCTGGGAATTAATCTAATAACGCTCAAAGGAACGAGAAGTCTTTTCTGATATTTCGCCGAGGCAAATACAATTAGAGCTTTTAGCCATCGCTTTCTTTCACTGAAGCAGCTCTTTATTCTTGTGCTCTATAGTCCCTCCACCAGCCTCCACCAGCTATTGAAACGCCTCCTCTTTGATACTTTCAACATCGTTTAATTCTTTCAGCTGCTTCGGCTGCTATGACGAGCCACAGTTTGATATTTTGACGTGATCATTTTAAATCAAAACTGCGGAAATCTGCAGTCTGAGTAAATTCAAACGATTTTCTGAAGCTTGTGCATGATGCAAAACCCCCGCAAACACCCTGCACAGGAGGAGGCCTGGTGGCTGCAGGTTGCATCAAATGGTGCAAACAGTGATTTACAGTAACATAATGAGCCTGTAATTCAAGTAAAGCGGTGGTTAATTCGTAATTATGCGGCAAATAAAGGGCTTCAACCATATGCCTTCACTTAAATAAATCAGCAAAATGCGATGTGTGCGAGAGACCCTAAACTCCCCTGGCAAGTGCCGGACAATAGGCGGGCTGCGGGAGGAACTCCTCTCCATTTAGTGCGCACTATCGTTGCTCAGCAATATAGGAATGCGGGTCGACAGGAGTGACAAAAAAGAGGAACAAAATGCCATTGTCTCTGGATGGATTGGATGGATCCACTCCCCCGAAAAGGCAGACACACAGAGGAGGATAAAAACGAGGGGAGAACGCGATGGGGAGGGTCCCGGCTGTCACATTTCACCTCCAATGTCTCACTCCTCACGCCCGAGGAAATCCTGCGCTTATCAAAACGCGTATTAATAAGGCCGTGTGTTGTTGCAGGGGAGGGGCTCGAGAGCGGATCAAAAATTCATTTTGAGGATGCTCTCGTGGCAATTTAGTCTGATGTCTCAATTTGATAGACGGGGAGGATAAAAGGGGGGCTCATATTCACCTGCAAAAAGTGTGAAAACATCCGGATGAAAGCTAAAAAGTGGCCTTTCTGCAACAGCTCCAAAATTAAACTATTATCCAAGATACATATAATTAATTTATGATCATATACAGATAATATTCTGTAATATATCATACGCCTTTTTTGTCTTTATGTTATTAACACGTGACAGAGAGGGATTAAAAAAACCCTCAAACATCTGAGTTCAAAGTGTTCCAGGTCTGTGCGTAAAAGCGCATCGCATTTCCAAGCGCACAGATGGAAAGTGACATCTGGAGAAGAGGCCAAATTCAATTAGATGCCGGTGTCTTCTCCCTGTGTCTGGAAAAAAAAGAGCAAAAAAAACGTGCAAAACAAAAGGCTGCGTGCAGATGTCATGTTGTTATTTCGTGGTTTTTGACGTAATTTCACCTGATGCGTCTTTTATCTGTTTTTGGCACATATTTAAGGTCGCTGTGCACCTTTTGTGGTGATGGAAGGAGGGGATGCAGAGGAGGAAAGTGTCATTTTATCCAGCAAGTCATCGCACTGTACTAAAGAAAACAAGGAAGAAAAGTGTTGTTTTTCATAATTTGACAAAGATTATTTCTCCTATTCAGAAACAAATGATTCATTTAAAAATGTAAACAGGTGCGGTCACTAAAGACTCCTCAGTGTGTGTGATGTTCTCCTCTTTTCTCTCACTAACTCATCCCTTTATCTTCCAGATGCTGCAGCCAGCTCCTGCACACTCACGGCTCGTCTCTCCTGCTCATCTCCGGCCCATCTGAGCCCTTTATCTGAGCTTCCCCGAGTGACCAGGAGACCAGCCAGTGGATTAACATAAAAATCTTATTCCGAGGGATAAGATTAGGAAAACATATTACCCTCAAACGCGGCCTTGGCACGAGCGGGAGCCATGGCAAGAGATCAATTACTAAATTACTCCAACCTCTAAGTCGACATTAACGCAGAGAAATGCCATCGACCCGTTCTGAAATAAGATTTCGCAAAGATGTGATCATTAAATCTCTTGCCAGTGTTCAAGAATTTGATTCATAAAAATCGTCTGAAATGAGATGGAATTAAATTCTTATCGGGGCTCTTGTCATCGTTTCATCCCCGCGCTGTTTAACGTTGGTCAATGGCCTTCATGAGATTTCCCCCTGTAAATAAACTTAGTAATTGAATCCGCCTCTCCACGACACATTGTTTGCTTGTTATTAATTTATTGCAGCCGTGCAGGAGGGTGGAGGGGGCCTGAGCATGTCCCGGATGTTGCTGCTGCTGCAGACTCTTTGTAAATGTTTTAATGCACCAAAAGAAAATCGTGTTTTTACAGATAACAACCTCTGCAGAAAGAGGAGGAGTGAAAAATCATCTGTCCATTTTTTTTTGGCCTCCCTCAGTGGGGGTCAAGGCATATTTTATTTAGCATAGTCTACTGGCATTGCCCCCCCCCTCCCCCTCCCTCCACAGTCTTGCATTAGCAATTGACAATTATTAGCCCCAGCCTCATAAATCAGCTGCGTGACCCGTTATTATTGTTGAATTGAATAGCTGTTGGGGAAGTGAGGGTCAGTGTCATTAACTTGCCCCCTTCCCCTCCCCTCCCTCTCCACACCCACCCACCCCTCGGGCCCCCTGAAGGCATTTGGCCCCTCTATACAAGGACCTGCTGGCTAATAATGCCGTGTGTGCGGCCCTGAAAAGCTTAATCACACATGCATTAAGCGGCAGACAGCGGCTCTTTTGTGCGCACGTAGGTTTACTGGAATTAAGCGATTAATGGTCATCTGAGCGGCAGGCGACAAGGCGGCCGCATCGAGGATGATGGAGCGATTTTTAATGTCAGAGGGGGGGGGGAGATTTAGCCTGTAGGAGCGGAGGCGTTAAAGGAAGGAAGGAGGGAGGGGGTGGGCAGCAATTACAGTAGGCCGTGTCTCCAATCCATCATAAAACGTCAAGGTCATTGTGCATTATATTGATTATTATACACGCTTTGTAAGCTTTATTACCCCCCCCCCCTTACATATTATAATATGCAAAATATAGAACATGTAAACACCTGCTATCAATTTCTGAAGCTGCTAATTTGTCTCGCCCCTGCACCCCCCCCTCCTCTCTCATCTCATATTCTTTTGATGTGTTATGACTAAACACGTGGCCTGTAACACTCCAGCAGCACCAGTTTGGCCTCCAGCAGCCATCTGCATAAACCATCAGGCTTCATATGAAGTATTATTTCCATATAGTCAAAAGAGACCCAACAAGTAGGGCCTCCAATATTCATAACATGCAGCACAACAGGAACCCGGTTTGTTGTTTAAAATCCACCTGGAGAGTCCAGCATGATCAATGACTGAAAGGAAGGGCGGCCATGTTTGCATGAATCATTTCAAATAATAACCAAGCGTGTATCATTACAAACTTAAAATCACCTTTTAAAACGTCAACATCTTCTATCTGGCTTGAAGCTTTGATAAGGACTTTAGTGTACTCATTATGGGACATACTGAGATTAATCCTGATGCCTCTATGTGACCTACAAGAGAAGAACTCTTATAGTCATTTTTAGTGCCTGAAATCTCTGCTGTGGTGAAGGTGTCAGATATGAAGGTTTAAATCACTGGTTCTCAACTCGTCTAGTCTCAGGACCCACCACCATCTCCTTTGTGAAAAACCGCAACCCAAATTTCTGATATTTTTCGACCAATCAGATTCATTTACTAACAAAACAGTTTGGACCTCAGTTGGTACAAAACATGTAGTAGAAGTAAGAAACTTTACATAAAAAACATGTTTAAAAAACACACATTCATGACTCACTGAATGTTTCCGCGACCCAACTCTGCTTAAAACCAGGCCCCCAACTCTGCAGAAACTGTTGATTTTCACATTTTCCACTTAAAATGTTCTCAATGAATAATATGTTTGACTATTAAAAGAAAGTAGGATGATATTTTTAATCATAAAATCCTATAGGAGGGCCAGTATCTTAGTGGTTAGTGTGCACGCACCCCATGTTCAGAAGTTGTACTCCTCCAAGCGATGGCCCAGTTTTGAATCCGACCTGTGGCACCTTTCCCGCATGTCATTCCCCACTCTCCCGATTTCTGACTCCATCCACTTTCCTATCTATAAAAAAAGGCATGAAAAGCCAAAAAAATAAACCTTTAAAAGAAAAACCTACTTAGGTTACAAGCTCAACAAAGAGGTAACCACTTTGTCCACAGGGGGCGCCAAAATCAACAAAAATCAAAAGTTTATCATACGATCTTTAATAGCTGTGTCTTACCTTCATGCCACCTTTAGGGGCGGGACAGCTTATACGATTTTCTTTTAAGTATTTCTTCTTTCACATCGATGTTTAAACCAGCTCTCTCAGAACGCTCCGTTTTGGTCTCTTTAAATGTAATGACCCCTGCTGAGTTTTCCCCGTAGACATCACTCCTCCGTAGGGAGAATAAAATTGGCAGAGCTGTGCAAAAGTTTTGTTCTAGGCTGGGGATCTGAGTCCATGGGTGGAGATACCAGGGGAGGGAAGGGGATTTTCTTTTACCGGAATCCCACTGTGACATCACAAGGGGAGCACATTTGAAACGGAGCATTTTTCTCTGTGTTGTAAGACTTATGCAGACCACAAACAAAGGACTGGATGGGTTTATTTCACATTTTGTGGGTCAGTAGACACTCAGGTTACCCAAATATATGTTCAAAACACTGTACAAGTAGATTTTTAATAATATGTTCCCTTTAACATGAACATACACAATCATCCTCCTGACTTCCTGAGTCATCATCAGGCGTTTTCCTAAAAGACTTGCAGCCAACCAAAAGAAGCACGCCTTTGTCCTTCTGGTTGGAACATTTTAGAACGAGGTAAGTTTACAAATCAACAGAATTAAAACCACATGCAGTGTTGTTTTTTTTAGACATTCAAATGCAGAAATGTTACATATCCCTCCTCATGATTGGCTCTACTTTAAATCCATTTAACCTTCAAAGATAATTCAAGTGTAGCTTCACTTGTTTGTTTGTGTTTCGATGCTCAGTTATGGTTTGTGTCACTGCTGGGACTTAAACTCCTCTTCAAAAGACTCAGGACTTAATCCAAATATTGAAAACTGTTCGATTCGACTTTTCAAATATCTCAGAGTTACTTTAATGCACATTTTATCTTACACGTTTCTGTTCAAAATCTAGATATCTAGCTCTAGAAAGAGCTGATACTGTTGATTGAAAACTGTTGATTTTCACATTTTCCACTTAAAATGTTCTCAATGAATAATATGTTTGACTATTAAAAGAAAGTAGGATGATATTTTTAATCATAAAATCCTATAGGAGGGCCAGTATCTTAGTGGTTAGTGTGCACGCACCCCATGTTCAGAAGTTGTAGTCCTCCAAGCGATGGCCCAGTTTTGAATCCGACCTGTGGCACCTTTCCCGCATGTCATTCCCCACTCTCCCAATTTCTGACTCCATCCACTTTCCTAGCTATAAAAAAAAGGCATGAAAAGCCAAAAAAATAAACCTTTAAAAGAAAAACCTACTTAGGTTACAAGCTCAACAAAGAGGTAACCACTTTGTCCACAGGGGGCGCCAAAATCAACAAAAATCAAAAGTTTATCATACGATCTTTAATAGCTGTGTCTTACCTTCATGCCACCTTTAGGGGCGGGACAGCTTATACGATTTTCTTTTAAGTATTTCTTCTTTCACATCGATGTTTAAACCAGCTCTCTCAGAACGCTCCGTTTTGGTGTGTGTGTCTCTTTAAATGTAATGACCCCCGCTGAGTTTTCCCCGTAGACATCACTCCTCCGTAGGGAGAATAAAACTGGCAGAGCTGTGCAAAAGTTTTGTTCTAGGCTGGGGATCTGAGTCCATGGATGGAGATACCAGGGGAGGGAAGGGGATTTTCTTTTACCAGAATCCCACTGTGACATCACAAGGGGAGCACATTTGAAACGGAGCATTTTTCTCTGTGTTGTAAGACTTATGCAGACCACAAACAAAGGACTGGATGGGTTTATTTCACATTTTGTGGGTCAGTAGACACTCAGGTTACCCAAATATATGTTCAAAACACTGTACAAGTAGATTTTTAATAATATGTTCCCTTTAACATGAACATACACAATCATCCTCCTGACTTCCTGAGTCATCATCAGGCGTTTTCCTAAAAGACTTGCAGCCAACCAAAAGAAGCACGCCTTTGTCCTTCTGGTTGGAACATTTTAGAACGAGGTAAGTTTACAAATCAACAGAATTAAAACCACATGCAGTGTTGTTTTTTTTAGACATTCAAATGCAGAAATGTTACATATCCCTCCTCATGATTGGCTCTACTTTAAATCCATTTAACCTTCAAAGATAATTCAAGTGTAGCTTCACTTGTTTGTTTGTGTTTCGATGCTCAGTTATGGTTTGTGTCACTGCTGGGACTTAAACTCCTCTTCAAAAGACTCAGGACTTAATCCAAATATTGAAAACTGTTCGATTCGACTTTTCAAATATCTCAGAGTTACTTTAATGCACATTTTATCTTACACGTTTCTGTTCAAAATCTAGATATCTAGCTCTAGAAATCAAGAAAACTGTCACTGTGAATGAACATATACATTGTTACAATTCTCTTAGCAGAATATACATATACTATTTAATGTTAATTATCATATACGCACACTTTGTAATGTAAATACTGTAAAAACTACCTAATGTTTACTTCAGCGTCTTTGCACTACTCACCACTGCACTATTATCTTATATTATCCTATTTAGCCTTGTACATATTAGTCTTTGCTTATTTGTTTATTTTTGTGTTTGTTGTTGATTTTTAATATTATACCTTTGTACAAAGAGAGCACAGTTTACCGAAGTAAAATTCCTTGTGTGTTTAAGCATACCTGGCCAATAAAGCTGATTCTGATTCTGATATCCAATTACACACATCATTATTATCTGATGTTTATTGCTCTATACAGAAGAAAAGTCATTTATTTTATGAATGAAATGTAAACCACACATACTCAATAAGTCAGTGATAATCAACAGGTTCACATTAGAGCAGCAGACAGATTTTTATATATATTTATCTCACTGTTTTAAGTTTTTATTTCTCTTTTTGTTTATTCTGAGTTTCTGCGGAAACACGTCCATCTTTAGTCACAATGATCCAAACATC